ATGCAGCAATTTTATTCTCAAGTTACATACCTGTAGTGCGATTCACTAACTTTTAACAATGCGAGTTGTCAGCTAACAATGTTTGTTGTTTGCAATAACGATTATGCGATTCACTAACTGTGCTGCCACTAATGGACATAAATCCGTTGCATTTGCCAAGGCGCTCGTGTGAGCACAAAGTTCACAAGCATTTTATATGGAAGAAAATGCGCAACACACTCCACAAAAAAAAAATCTAAAAAATCAACGGCAGCTTTTAGCGACTTGAAACCTGCATCTTATTGAACTAAAATTTAATTGGCTACAAAACTGCATACCCGAAAATCATTTAAAGATTCTGAATAAAAAGTTCGAAATCTTGGAGAAAATTTTTTAAAGTTTGATTGATTCTTGTGAATTTTGTGCAAGCTTTAAAACTATTCATGTGGTTTCTGTTGTTATATAGTAGGTGGAACTATTTAAAACAAAATTATTAAAAATAAAAAGTACACACACAAAAATCATTTAACATGAAAAAGTTTGTTAATATTTAAAAAAAAAATCAGTATGCACATTTTGTACATATTTATTTTCAAAGACTGATTTTATTATGCTAATATCATGATGATTAATAAAGACATGCTATTTATATTTTTAATAAACGATGTACACGCATTAAATTGAAAGCTTTAATTATTCAATTCCTTTAAATTCAAGGCATATTCAGTTACTGTAAGATTAAAACATATAATTATCACGTTTTAACTTCCAGATTTCTATATTAATTTTACGCCCTATTGGAAAATAATAAAAAAAGTATATATGCGATTTTGTAGCCCATTAAATTTTAGTACAATGAAGTGCAAGTTTGATGTTGCTGTAAAATCCTTTGATTTTTGATATTTGTTTTTGCTAGCTGTGCTGTGCATTTTTTTCATACGAAAAAATTGTAGAACGTACCTTTTTTGTTTTATTAACAACACCAAGCTAGACGTCGTCAAATATGTGGCCTTTGTTATCGTTAACAACAACAGCTGATTTGGCGCTAACGAATGTTGTTAGGGAAACGTTTACTGAATAGCTAAATTGTTAAAATTGTCGTTTAGCTGACTTATAAATAACAAGAGTTGTTAAAATCGCGTAGTGAATCGCACCACTGATGACAGTACGAATGGAAATTATAATAGCGAGCAGTGTTGCCGCGCCGTCTCAAGAAAACCAAGCCAAAAATGTATCCAAATGTATCCAATTTTCTTTTTTTACATATACATCTCATAATTTGTAAGAAAACCAAACATTTTTATGAAAAAGACATAATTTAACCCATCTTAAGGACTTGGAATACATGTGCATAAAATGAAACATTTGTAATTTCAATTTATAAAGTACATTTTTTGTGCATAAGTATTTTGCAAAGTAAATATAATAAATAGCAAGCACACTCTAAAAAGATCATGTATCTATCTATTTTTCAACAAGAATCTGTATAAATATACGTATAAGATGTTCAGTATTTGATTTTGAACTTGAGATCTTTAAAATATACACATAAATACACATATATAGAATGTTTAAAATTGCAAAATTTTCAAACTACAAATACATTTGAGTAGTCTACTTGCAAAGTGCGCTATGTAAAATTTTTTCGATTCTTAGTTTTTGGCGGATTACGTACCAGTATTTAAAGTAGTTTCATGTCTACTAAGAACAGAGTGCAAAATCTTTTTATATTCTGAAAAAATAGCATCAAATGTTAAGTCTTCTTCCAAAAGTCGCTATCATACCTATTTATGAACTTTCAAAAGTATCAATCTTCTGATGTACTTAGAAAGCTGCTTTAGGTCGTATAGACTGTTAATGTTATCTTATGACATGTTATGTTATGTTACAATTTTATAAGGCTCCTATTTATCCAAATTTTCAGGTAATAATAAAAAAGATTCAATTTAAATGTTACTTGTTGTCGTAGTCGCTTTTTCAAATTTATGGCTTTCTATTATAAAATCACATAACGCTGTTTGCAAGTGGACTATTCATTTCCTACTAATAATAAACATTACTTTATTTTAAACAT